GCTGGGGGATTGAACCGCGGTCCCTGATGCTTTGCTAAGCTTGTTCTAAGTAGGTGCTTTAGACCACTGAGCCATCTCTCCAGCCCTAGTTCAAAATTCTTGATCAACATATATTTGTACAGATTTATGAGATGTAATTCATGTATACTTTGGGTACTGATCCACGGGGTAATTAGAAAAACTTAGCTCTTTTTTTTAGTCTTATTCTTGAGACAGGGTCTTACTTGGCAGTTTAGGCAGGACTTAAGCCCACTTTGTAGCTCAGACTAGTCTCAAACTCACAGTGATCCTCCTGCCTCTCCCTCCTGAGTGCTGGGATTACAGGTGTGTGCAACCACATGTGGTAAAAAAAATTCCATTTTTGTTTTGTTTTTTGACACTGGGAATTGAACTCATGACCTGGCACTTGCCAGGCAGATGCTGTGCCACTAAGCTAAATCCCTGGCCAAGAAAAACTTAGTTCTTAACAAAAACATTGACAATCCTCACTGTTAGGTGCAATATTTAGAGAATGATATAAAGTGCTTGTGCACATTTTTCTTTTTCCTGGCAAATTAAAAGACCATCATAGAAAATAAAATGATCCAGCAAGTAGATACTGTTATAACTTTAACATATTATAACCAACACAAATCATCTAGAAGTTAGTGCTGAAAAATACTCATTGGCTGATTACATTTTTACCCAAGTGTGCAGGAAGGAATCTGGCCCTGAAGAGAACTGGGTATTGTCCTAGATTAGTGGCCTAAAGCTAGCCTAGATTTGAACCCCAAGTCCTTTGTAGAAATAAACAGGGATATAACTCAAATGAAATTTTAACTGGAAGTAGGATGAATGTTCTATTGCTTAATAGCTATATAATCCTTTGAAAAGTAATTTAAATTGTATGTATATAAAAGTCATTTATCATAAAAGAATTCTTTTATCATGAAAAAACTTACATTATATTTGTATGTCATACCTTATGTGCTTTAGGAAGAAGTGAACCAGGTGGTTTTTTCCTGAGTACATACGCGTGAGAGCCCTTCTGGAGATAAAAGGTTGGGTTGGACTGTCCCCATCTAGATAAAAGCAAAGGAAAAATCAACTGTAAAGAAAAGCCAACTGTTTACCTTCTTCCTGAAATCCTGCTGAAATGCCAGAAGAAACAGGAAAAGAAAGCCATCTCAACATTGAAAAGCCAGTGGGCTCTACCAGTAGATCACAGCATGCACATTTGAAATGGTGAAGCTGGACATGGTAGGGCAAGCCTATAATCCCAGCAATTTGGGAGGCTGAGGAAGGAAGGTCCAAGTTCAGCGCCAGTCTGGGCAACTTAGTGAGACACCCTCTGTTTCAAAATAAAAACTGAAGGGGCCGGGGAGATAGCTCAGTAGGATAAGCGCTTCCCTGTCAAGTGCAAGGGCTTGCCAGAGAAGTTCAATCCCCGGTTCTTCCCCACCCCACCCCCCAAAAAAATCCCACTGAAATATGGGAGATGGGTTGGGGATGTAGCTCAGTGGTCGAGTTCTTCCCTAGCATGTGTGAGACCTTGTGTTCAGTTGCCAGTATTACAAAAACAAACAACCCCACAAAACCAAAACAACAAAACAACACAGAAACACAAACATATTGGCAGCTGAAGAATCTAGAATCCCATGGGTAGGAGAGTGGATCTCACCCCTAACTGCAAAGCATGTTTTATCAGAAGTACCCTAGAAAAATAACTAGAGATCATAGGTGATCAGTCAGGCATGAATTAATGGGGCTGGGAGATAGCCCAGTGGCATAAGCACCTGCCTGGCAAGTCAAAGTCCTGAGTTCCATCCCTGGTACCAAAAAAAGAGAGAAGAATTAATGGATGCTAGAATAGCTCAGTTAGTGCCACCTCACACCTAAAGCAATAACCTCCATATGTGTCACCAAGGCTAGCCCCTGAGTACAGCTCTTTACAATGAGAAATAGAATGGGCAGCTAGGCCAACATACAATGAGATTTCAGAGTGGGCAGCTAGGCCAACATAATGGTGTCCCAGGTAATTCACAGGGATGGGGCACTGGCTTTCCCCATTGGGTGAACAGAAATTCTCACATGGGGCCGGGGAGATGGCTCAGTAGAATAAGCGCTTCCCTGGCAAGCAAGAGGGCCTGAGTACATGGTCTAAGGATATAAATCTCAGATAATGAAACTATTCTGTCTATACCTTTATTCCTATTATGGGCAGTTAAGAATCACCCAATTTTGAAGAATCCAATAGTATAAAAGAGAGGCCCTAAATTAAATAAATGTAAGATTCAATGGTGGAAGAACTGGGTATAAGTGGGGAAAAAAAATAACCTTGAAGATTCTCCTCAGGGCTCTCTGTCAGGAAAGAATACAAATGAGCCCAGTCAGAAAGCAGCAGCAGCTCCAGCAGGTACACTGCTCTGTGCTAGACCAGGCACGTTCTCCATGGCGCTCTTTATCACACAGCACTGATCCTGGTTCCCTCTTCCTCCTAAATGGGTGCCTTTTATCACAAGAGAGTCGGAGGCAACTGCCAACAGTTAAGAAATAGGACCACTTCAAGCTCTGCTGTCTTTGGTGATATGGGGCAATTTAGCTGTGATGCTACCAAGACAGGTAACAACGATCCTTGCAAACATTTTTTGAATGAATTTTTTGACTGATTGGATGCATTTTTGACGAAGCAGTTCTCTAGTCATAAATGAAGTGCTGGTCTTCCATGACAGTAAATGATCACTGAAATATAAAACTACCGTATGACCCAGCAAGACCAAACCTGTGTATACAGCAAAGGGAATTTAAAGCATAAAATTCACACAAAAATGTGGGCCTAAATTGTTCACAGCAGCACTATTCACAACAGACAAAATATTGGGAACAACCCAAATGTCTATCAGCAAGTGGAAGGAAGCAAACTGTGACACATCCATACAATGTAACATTAATTGGCCAGGAAGGAAATTATATGCTAGTACCTGCTAGAACCTGGAGGAGCCTTGAAAACATTATGCTAAGGAAGTGGAGCCATTCACAAGTGTCTACACATGGTATGATTCTATTTCTATGAAATGTCCCCAGGCAAACCTACAGAGACAGATAGCAATGACTCTGTCTCAAAACAAAAAATAAAAACAGTGCTAGGGATGTAGTTCCATGTGAAGGTCCTGGGTTAAATCCCTAGAATTGAAAAAAAAAAAATACTGGCTGTTTGAGGATGGGGAAGGAGGGAATTGGGAAGTAGGAGAATTTTTATGAAGTGACAGACATAGTCTGGAGTTAGATGGTGGCGATCACTGCATAATACTGTGAATATGCTGAAAACAACTGAAGTATATACTTTTTTTCTTTTAAAGCTTGGTTTTTCACCAGTGTAGACCAATCAGTGGGCTTGAATTTGGACCAATCAATCACGGTCTGTTGCTGTTTTTTTGTTTGTTTGTTTGCTTTTTCAATTTTTATTTTTTAAAGAATATTTGAGAATCAAAACAGAAAAAATTACAAGTGATAGAGAATTTCATTGAACAAAGTATATGGATTTCACAGTATTTGTTGTATTACATAGCGTTGTCTTCTGTCTCCTTTTTTCACTTGTTTGTACTTTTTCTTATTTTCTTATATATTTCTTTTTCTTTTTCTTTTTTCAATTTTATATGCATATATCTGGCAGTAACATGAAGTATATACTTTAAAACTGCTAAAATTGTGAATTTTATATTCCTTTTATTTCAAAAAAATCCCCAATTAAAAATTTTCTTCTAAAGAACTATTTACCATAGTTTTAATAAAACAAATACCAACAAAAAGGAAGAAATGGTCTCATGTTGGATGATCACCGCCGATATAATCAATACAACAGTGGCTACATTTGACCACTCCAAGCTCAGCCCTTCATGTAGTCTAGAACTACAGAAGCCCTCAGTATTAGAATGGTCACTGAGCCCTATCTCCTCTTGAGGACTAGAACAAGACATTTTGTGTTAAAGTAATTTATCCATCTATAACCTAAGAGGTGATACTTTTGATTTGTCCAACCTCCACAAACAAAGACAGAAATTTTACATTTAGCCACCTTGGTAACAATGTTCACTTGACTGGAGATGACTGACTAGACTTCAGTCTTGCAAGTCTCTACCAGCCACCCTTAGCACTGGTTCACTCGGAAGCATAGAAAGGCAGGAAAAGCAGAATGCCAGTGGGCCACAGCAAGTGAATGGCTTTGGCTAGCTCCCACAGCAATCAGGCAGCAGCCTGGGGCCTCCTCTATCCCCTGTACTCTCAAGGACAACAGGGCTATTCAGGCTTCTGTTCTCTACACTGGGTGGCTTGTGAGCAACAAAAATTCATTTCTCACAGATCTGGAGCCAAGATGAAGGCACCACAGCATGATAGGTAAGTCCAGAGTTGGGGAACCACCTTGTGAGTGGCGCCACTTGCATCTCCAAGCAGGAACTCAGAAATTCCTACAAGATTTTTTTTTTAAGAGAAAGGAAATGAAATAAGTTACCCTGATAAGCGTCCATTACGTTTGTAGCTGTGTGACAGTCACACCATCCCTCGTCCAGAAATAAATTTGAAAATACTGAGATTTGCTGCTGTTTGATGTAACTCCTTTTCTGTTGATATCAAAGAGACTGGAGCAGCAATGATTACGCTAACCAAGCATAACACAACTGTTATACTAAGGAGCCTCAGACCTTTGCCATCTACTCTCGACAGTTTGGTTTGCACATTTATGGTTATGAAACTAAGTGAGCAAGATGAAGAAGATAACGCTCAGTTCACCAAACTTGAACTCACAGCCATCCCTCTAGCACTTCATAGATTTCTTTTTAAAATTCTCATTTTATAGAAAAAAGTAAAGCAAAAATTTCGTAACAAAATAATAGGAGAATAACAACACAGTACATATTGTTATCTTTAAAGTAGTTACTCTGCGTATAAGATATAGGCACAAAATATCCTCCATTTGATATTAGGACAAACTTTCCTTTTTAATGAACTAAGAGACACTACTAACATAACTAACTTGCATATTTGAATCAGATTTATTTCATTTATGAGTGTGATCTCAAGTCTATCCAATAAACGTCTTCAGTTTAGCCTTCTTTACAGCCGAGTAGTACTCCATTGCATAAAATCATCACATCTTTTTTTTATCCATTCCTCAGTTAAATGGACATTTACGCTGTTTCCAAGATTTAGCTTTTACAAATTGTCTACAGGTTGAGAGTATATTGATGCCAAAGCGCCTCAAAGGTGTCTGCTGCAGATAAGAGTTCAGGAAAGGAAATGAAGAGTTAAAGCTCAATGCTGTGATGTTTGAGCATGGAGAGCAATGAGTACATGCTTCAAGGGGCTTGAAATTACAGAGGTGAAGATGAACCACAAAGAGGCAAAGCATCTCTTAGAAGCAGCTAAGATTCTATGTATTCAACAGGCCACAGTGGAAGACAAGAGGCACCAAAGATGAAGCCGACCAAGACAATTCCTGACAAGTGCAATGGAATTAGCAAATGGCTAGTCAAGATCAAATTACCGAGAAAATAATTTAACATGAGCAGACAAAGCTGGAGAAGGTCCAAAGCCCCAGAATATCACAGTGCCAGAGACCAGGCCACATGGTAAGTGCCTAGCTAGGGGCTTCCCCCAGAGCGGGTGCTCATGTCTGGGAGCGGGGTTCTTCTGCTGGAGCCATGATTACAAAAACAAACTAGGCCAACCAAAACACAACAAAAAGTTGGAGCTTGAATGCAGTTTGGCATTTGAAGGATTCTGATTTTTAAGAAGTTATTTCAGTAGCTTTAAAAAAACATACTTAAACTGCTAATATATCACTAGATGTTTTGAATATGACTCTACACAGGGGAAAAGCACACAGTACACTTTACCCATACACTACCTAAGTAGAAAATGCGATTCATGCCCTAGAGCAATGTATTTTAAATTGGGATAATTGGGGGGAGGAGTCCAGGGCATCTGATAGAAGACTACCACTTTTCAGCCCCAATATGTACCACTTCCCATTTTCTCTCACACATAGTACTGCTGCCTTGAAACCACCAGAACTGGTCACGCT